TGATGGCATTTGCCGTTTGGTTTGTTAAGTGAGAGGGGATTTTGTGCTTTCTACCTAGTTCTTCAAGTTTACGAAAATTGATGTGAGTGATAGCGTGGGGATTGGCTATGGCAAACTTCTGCTTGAGTTCCTCCTAACTCTTAGTGCTAATTTCAGTTTGTATATTGTTTCGTTGGTCAGTGGTGGGTCAGTCGTTGAAGTGGAGGGGCTTGTCGAACAGCCAGGATTGCTTGGAGGCTAGCAGTTGCCTCACGGCTGGTCCAGTTCACAGCGATGATGAGCGCCTCATTCCATTTCGGAATTTATCAGCCGAAGAGGACGATGGACTGCCGCCGCCCCGTCTATGGGACTTGCTCGACACGGAATGGGAAAGGAGCGGTGGACACTTCGAGATCCATCGAGTGAGGGAAATGAAGTATCCCAATCCGGGCATGAAGTCGAGACTGGGCGGCGGATGGACACTCTGTTGAAGGCTGCAAAAGGCGCTGGCGACCAGCTCGGCATGGAGTGAGATCTAGCGATTTATTTAATATTGTTATACTGTTTAAGAATTTTATGATAGCTTTGGCTATAAAATTTTTCAGGATTCCTTTACGTTGTATAGTTAGGTTGTATTGGTTATATTGTGTAATTTTCTTTGCGCTAGTAGTGCTGCTTGTATAGTTTTTTTAGTTTATCGGTTTAATCTTGTGGTTTTTCTGCTTTTTGTACGCTGGTTCTCTGTATGTATGGTGTTTTCCGATAATTTTTTTTTTTTTTGACATTTGATTTTTTTGCTGTTTGTATAATGTTTTTTTGTGACTTTTTCGGCAATTGTTGTTTGTTTTTGTACTATTTTTTTATGTAATACAAAGTTTGATTTACTTAGTGATTCACGACATATCCAACGTTCACGCGCTCTCGGTTTTGCGATGGATGAGGTATCTTTAGGTTATGCTTATTGCGCTACCTGGTCATCTTGGCTTACGTACTAGGGAAGCAAAGCTTTTCTGCAGTCAGTGATCTGGTCTCGCTTTCTCACTACATATGAAGACGTTGTAGCTGATGTTGCATTTTTGAAATCGTATATACGTAGAATTCGCAAAAAATGCAGCTTTCTAGCTTTCGTTACCTGTAGTTCACTTGTTGTGGCAAACAGACATGCAGACCGACATCCATCCGCAACAGTGCACTTTTCTGAGCAAAAACACAACACAGATTGCATTGTACAAGGCTTGCCGGCACCATCTTGCGTTTTCGCGGCAAACCCGCAGATTGCTAACAACAGAAATGGCTTCTGTGCAGCAGTTCGACACTTGAACTCGTATTGGCTGTATTCTTGCCTCTTCCCGAGTGCAGGAAGAAAAAGCGTCAACTAGGATAGAAATGTTACATTGCGGCAGTATAAGCTCCTAGCGTGCAAAGCTATCAGTTTTTTGCACGAAGTCTGGTCATTCTTCCAGTGAATGCTTGTTCGTTGAGAAAATGCAGATTTGAAAGAAGTTGGAAGAGGATTATAAAATCTGCAAAATGCACTCGTTTTTGAGTGTGCGATAAAATTGAGTATTTTTCATGTCCGTGAGCGGGGGGTTTCACCTCCAAGCCGAATTAAGAGTACACGTGAATATAGAAATCCCTGCAAAGTTTCAGCTTCGCAGCTCGCCTGGCGAGCGAAATAGTCACCTCGCTACAAGCAATTCTGATGCGCCCCAAGTTGTGACGGAGGTGCAAATTGAAACTCAGTTTAGGAATACGATTTTCCATGTGAACAATAAATATTTGGACAAAATTTCAGTTGCTGCTTTCCAGCTAGTTCTTGAGTAGGCATATCGCAAGCTGTGAATTCTGATGTGGTCGTATGCGCCGTATAAGCGTGTGCTACAGCTGAATTTGAAACAATCAGTTCATACATGCACAAAGAATGCCCGACCGAAGTTTTAGCAAACTGTTTGCATTCTGAGTGCATTTTATCTGGGTGTTTCAACTCAGGATCCAAAGAAGCTAGGAAGCTGAAATTTTAGCAGAATGTTCTCCGACCAAGCTTGACCCCGCACACTTAAATCCAGCCTTCACATGCCTCGGGTACGACTCCATGAAAGTTTTTGGAGGATGAGGGAGAGGGGAGAGGATTATTGCCTCGAGAACCATGAAAGCTGGGAAGTTGAAATTTTGTTAGAATGTTTTCCATCCCAGTGCGGCTTCGCGAATGTTTGGGCAGGAAAAATTACCATCTGGAGAGCCGCGAAAGCTGGGGAGCTGAAATTTTAAGAGAAATATCTCTTTATCGCTTACAACACCGCAAATTTAAATTCAGCCTTTCTGTTCCCCTGGGCATCACGCATGGCCTGCCGAAGATTCAGTGAAGAAAATTACTATTTTGGGAACCAAAAAAGCTAAAAGGATGAAATTTTAGAATATTGTTTCCTGCCCATTTACATTTCCGCAAATTCGAATTCAGCTTTCATTAAACCTGAGTCCTACGTATGGTCCCGCAAAATTTTTTGGCAGAAAATGGCTAACTCGGGAAGTAGGAAAGCTGGGAGCTGAAATTTTAAGGGTGTGTTCCCAGCCCCCGTAAAAGTTAAAGATATCAAATTCAGCTCCCAGAGATTTTTTGTGATGTCTGTAAATGCAAGACAACTGCAATTTCGATAAAATGTTTCTACTGATGCGAGCTGTTTTCTTTAAAGCAAATAATTTGGTTTAGCGCTTCCACCACAAATCAAACAGAGATCAATACAAAAACCACCACATAATTCGTTTTCATGCGTTTTTTGCAGCTATGCAATGCGGAAAACGCATGACGAGAGGTTGTCTGTGTGTGTGTGTGTGTGTGTGTGTCTGTGTGTGCGCTAGGCCTTTGTACTGATTTTTCGTCTCGAGACCTACAAAAGCTACGGGCCGAAACTTTGGGAACTTAATCTACGTGCACGTATGGGCCCCCCTCCCCAAAATAGGCGGTCTTACCCGCGTGGTACCGACGTAAGAGCCCGCCAAAGTTTTTTACGGGTAAGCTGCTAACTCGGGAATCAAGGGAAATGCTTGAGGGCCGAAATTTTAAGGGGATTTTTCCCGTCCAAGTAGGTATTAATGAGCTCAAACCCAGCCCCGTGTAAGCGTGGTGCCCACGTACGGGCTCGCCAATTTTTTTTTTCGGGCAAGTTGATACTCTAGTACCTGAAAGGCTAAAGGACTGTAATTTTAAGTGGATATTTCCTGTCCACCTAAGTCTCATTCAGTTCAAACCCAGTCCTCGGGTATGCTTGGTACCCACGCGCCGGCTCATCAAAATTTTTTTCGAGTAAGTTGCTAACTCGAGAACCTGAAAGGCTAGAAGACTGTAGTTTTAAGAGGATGTTCCCCGTCCACGTAAGTCCCAATGAGCTCAAACCCAGACATGGGGTATGCGTGGTACCCTCGTACGGTCCATGGAAGTTTTTTCCAGTAAGTTGCTAACTCAGGAACCAGGAAAGCTATAAAGCTGAAGTTTTAAGGGGGTATTTCTTGATAGATCTGGCGGCCAGTCTTAATTTGTTTAGTTAGAAGCATTTGCCGGAAAAACTGGTGCCGGTAGTGACAAAAACTGCGGGGAACTACGCAAAAAACTCATCTTCGCACAGGCAGCCTGTGCTTTGGCCCTTTTTATGCGTTTTTTGCAGCAATGCAATGCAAAAAACGCATATTGACGAGAGGTTGTCTGTGTGTTTTTATGCGTTTTTTGCAGCAATGCAATGCGAAAAACGCATATTGACGAGAGGTTGTCTGTGTGTGTATGTGTCTGTGTGTGCGTATGCGTTTTTTAGATGCAATGCGAAAAACGCATATTGACGAGAGGTTGTCTGTGTGTGTGTTTGAAGCAAGCTGAATAGGGAGGGGAGTTTGACTTTTTGCCTATATTTTGTCACTAGTACTGGTTTTTACGTTTTTTGCAGCAATGCAATGCGAAAAACGCATATTGACGAGAGGTTGTCTGTGTGTGTGTCTGTGTCTGTGTGTGTGTGTCTGTGTCTG